AAGTGTGTGATTTCCTCTTTAGTCTTGTTTCTTTATGGGAATAAAAATTAACAGTGTAGCTATCTTTCTTGTAACTTTTTAATCTACATTACAGCAGTGTAAGAAAGAGAAGTTAGAAGTAGTGGGTAGTGAAAGAGACAGGACATAATAGGTTTCACATGCCAAACTGTACTCATGTCTTGAATCCATCATCTGTGACTTGAGCTTTTGGGTATACAAAGCTGCATTTGTTTTTTACATAAAACTAAATAAATCTTGTACCTTTTTCGTTTTCAAGTTTTGGGCCTCTTTTTTCAATTAAAATTATTTTTAGCACCCTGAAAGAATATGCTATATAGTAGATAATGGATATGATTTTGTGTTCGTTTTGTAAATCTATTGTGTGAACGAGAAGTGATTCTATTGAAATTTTTTTTGTTTGATAAAATCTTGTGAAGAACAAAGCGTAGAATATGATAAGTTAATGCTCGTCTTCGTCTACTCGAGTTTTGTCCCTACAAAAGGATAGATAATATGAATCGAACCTCAGAAAGAAAAGAAAGTAAAGTAAATCTCAGGAAGTGGAGAATATTAATGTGCAGAGTCATATTTCCTAATCAGCCATGGCGAATTTCTCTATAGTTTCGCATTTGTCACTTAAACGCACGTAGCTATCCATGAAGCCACTACTAACACCCAGAGATTAGAGATGCCTCCTCTCGTTTTCGGTTCCACTTGTCCCCTAACACAACAAAGAGAACTTGTTCTGTTTATTTGCCGTTGATGCCAAAAGCTAGGTACAAGATTATATCATGAATCTCAACTTGAAATTAGAAAATATAAAAATTCGTAACATTATAGAAAAAATATATAAACTGTCCAATAGTTATTTTCAGCATGCGGAAATTATATATGATGATTCATATATTGTGTATTTGTATAACTACTAATTTTAGTAAATAGTACACGATTTGTTACCGATTCGTTCGTTTGTGTAACGTGTTAAGAGCGATTTGAAACTTAGAGAATTTGTCTCTCCATTTACGGGAATTTTTCAATGAAACCAGTTTTAAATATTGCCAACGTGAGATTCCCTACGGACTATGCGATCCAGCTGTGTTCACTCCCAACCCCACAACCAAACTCTCTTCACATTTGTCAGCT